AGAGAGAGAGAGAGAGAGAGAGAGAGAGAGAGAGAGAGAGAGAGAGAGAGACAGAGAGACAGAGAGACAGAGAGACAGAGAGACAGAGAAAGAAAGAGAGAGTATTTAAAGAATAAACGTATCTAGATCTAGATTTTGTTGTGCACCCAGCCAAGAGTGTGCAGTTCGGTCTAGATTTAGATTCTAGATTCTAGATCTAGATCTAGATAGGTTAGATCTAGATCTAGATACGTTTATTAATTAAATTATACTCTCTCTCTGGGCTAAAATAAATAAATTATAGTAACACTAGATCGACACACCGCCCGAGATGATCAGTAGCCTTGCATTGTAACCAAAGATAGTACAGCCTACCGTAGGGTGTAGTATCTTTGTTGTAACCAATGTAAACTACCGCTCGCTCAGCGAGCCAATCACAATCCAACATTTTGGGGTCCACCTAGACACCATGACTATGTAGATCCCAATTGGGGAGTACGTAGACACTTCCATAAAATATAATGAAATCAAAGAAATAGGCATTTTTTCCGCCTGTTTGGCAATTTTTATTGAATTTTTGTCTTTTGGCTCAACCCACTTTATGTCCATCTGAAAACATATTTCCGTAAGAAAGTCACTCAAAAAGGTTGATCAAAAGCACAAACAGTGAACATTTTCAGCTTCCAAGGACGCTCAAACTTTGAAAGTCTTCTAACTTTGGCGGTTATTTTCTCGTAAATCTTACCTCTGAAACCAGGTGACCCCCACCTTCTTCAATTGCAAATATCTCAATTTCTTAAGATAAAAGGGCACTTTTAAAATCAAAAGCAAGACAAATGAACAAGCTATAAGATGATACCAATAATTCCATATGCCGAAAATTGTCGAGCATCTGATTCCACCGCGCCATGACACATTTATACCGCACATGTCAACGAAGAAATATCTCAATGCCCTTATCACATTACAAAGAACACAGTTCCAATGATGATTCTCTCTCCTTCCCCCCCTCTTTCCCTTCCCGTTCCATCTCTCAGTAGCATTAAGTTTAGTTTAGTAAGAGTTTAGCACCCGCTAACCACCCACTCAGCAGCGTTACTAACATTACATTGATCAATGTGGTCTATTTAGTTGTTTAATTTGCTATCTTGCGTGTTGGTCAGTGGCAGGGGGTAAGGCCTAGCCTATTGTATTGTTTAGCTGAAAGTGTGAGAGTGAGTGAGTAAAGTGTGAGTCTCAGTCCAGTTGTATTGTTTGGTGCAAGTGTATAAAAGCAGTCTAGGTTACTACAGGTTAGACTTTAGAGGGGAGAGCTGTAGCAAGGCAGAGGAGGCCTGCTGAGATTTCGGGTGGAGAAAAGGCTAGTTAGAGCCTCGGTTTGTTTCTGTGTTGCGTGTGAGATTCCAACGCATCGGGGCCCCGTCGCTGAGGAAAGGATCACCATCCGGAGAGAAACAGGTTTGGCTAACCCCTGTTGTAAACGCAGGCAAATAAAAGGTTGGAGTTAAACATTATTTTAAGTTCAAGTAACAACAATCAAGACAGTAAAAAAACTGAAAACAAGAGACGACAAAGCTAAAAACTTACCAACTGTAGGCATGAGCTCAGTCTCTTCAGCTGGATCTGAGGGCTCTGGAATGAAATGAAAACAGAAACACAATGCTATACATGAAAACTTCAGCTTTCCGATTCAGTAAAAATTTTACGGCACTTGCAATACAAATAGGTCATCTGGGTGGTTGGCGGGTGCTCTTGTGTGGTCTGCTCCTTGTTTCCTATCAAACATCTATCGCCATGATCTCTCCTCCTTTTTTATGTTTATTTGTTTGTTACTCTCTTGTAACAACTCTAATCTCTGGCACTTTTATGACCTTATTGTGTTGCAAGTGCTGTAAAACTTTTACTAAAACTATTTTAAAAAATAGGTCACATCAGTGCGGGAGATTAGAGCCGTTACTACAGAGTAACATGTAAAGAAAAGAACGGGGACAGATAGGGACGGTAGATTTTTTCTTGGAAAGATAAGATAAAAAAGAATTTTTAAAGTTTTAGTCAGAGTATTACTGCCCTTACAACACAACAAGGTCATATAAGTGCCAAAGACTAGAGGTGTTTCAAGAGAGGAACTAACACAACAAGGTCATATAAGTGCCGAAGACTAGAGGTGTTTCAAGAGAGGAACTAACACAAAATAGAAGGAGGGGAGATAAGGACGATAGATGTTTGATACAAAAGAAGGAGCAAATCACACTAGAGCACCCACCAACCAACCCCTAAGATAGGATAAGACAAGATAAGATAAGGTAAGACAAAATACTTTATAGTCCCACTCAAAGGGTAGGTCAAAGAGTGACAAAAAATCTGTACGACATATAGACAGTGGTTACAGAGAAACAAAACACCCACGAAACACGGCCGCAGAAAAAAAGAGTGACAAAACGTCCTATGGCACCCCCCCCCCAAAAAAAAAAGGGGTGACAGAGGGATGAAAAGTCCTTAACAGTGTACCAAAACACCTGCCAACCATCCATTTCACAAAGCAAAGCAGAGCAAAGCACAGAACTGCTTACCTCTATCTCCCTGTTTCTTGATCAACCAAGCATTTTTGAGGTACTCGGGTAGCTTGTCCCTGTGCTGGCGCAGAAAGAACAGAAGAATTGCCAACAACAGGACAACAATTACCACTACACCAAGCCCAATGGATACCCGGTAGACCAAGCTTTCTGTCGTGTGTTCCATCTCTGTGAAAAAGTCATATGGCACAAACTGTGAGCAGACATATAAGACGCACACAGTTTAGTTTTAGTCAGACGCTTACGGCACTTGCAACACAAATAGGCCACATAACTACTGAAGATTAGAGGTGTTATTAGAAAGTTACAAAGAAAAGAAGGAGGAGAGGTAAGGACGGTAGATGTTTGATAGGACAGAAGAAGCAAAGAGCACCCACCAGCCACCCATTGAAATATGTTTTAGTTTTAGTAAAGGTTTTACGGCGCTCGCAACTGCATAAAGTCATATGAGCGACAAGGGGGTGGATGTTAACAGAGAACTCCAAACAGGGAATCAGGCTTACTCTGCTCACCTCTCTAGCCTCAACAGCCCAAAGTCTGCTTCGACTATTAAGGCACCCTGGAAATAGTTCACAAGAGAGTGACAAACATACAAAAGAAGTAGAGGAAAAATGACGATAGTAAGGATGAGGAAAGAAAAAGCAGCAGTTCCCCCTATGTTGTTCCGGCACAGTATGAGCATGACATTGATAAATCAGCCCATTTACAATTCAACTGATCAAAAGATTATGTTAATATCCCCCCTTTGGGAATGGCCTAAAGACACTTCAGTCAGTAGCACAGCCCTGGTGGGGGGAGAAAAATGTTTACTAAGAAAAAAATTAGACAAGAATTGAGTACTTTCTTTCAACACCACTGACCACTTCCAAGTCCGTTATAGAGACCAACAAAGCAACTGCAAAGGACAATTTGAACAGTTTGATGACAAAGCGTATCAAGTGCCAATTTCTACGTTTGTCGGAAAGTAGTACCGTCGTATGAGTATCTAGAAATGGGAGGCACACACCACAGTCAACTCTTTTTTTAATAACAAAACATGATTTTTTTCCTCTTTTAACCCTATCCGTACGCATGGGATCATTTTGTACCCCTGGGGTTGTATTCTTCATGATTTTTGAATACTTCTAGTGCGAAGAAGATCTCTTTGAAACTTTCAGTATTTCTCAAAAAAAATCATTTTGACATCCTCTTTGCAAAGTGTATGGATCGGATCGGATTAACGAGTAAATTTCCTCTCAGGAAAGTGGGGGGGCACAGAGTTCCATACGTCGTAGCGATACAATAGTAAAACACGACATACCGATAGGGTTAAAGAATTGCAGAAAAGGACGCTTTTTTCTCTCTAAAACATGTCAAAAGCGGTAAAAAACCTTTTTTGACAAACTGCGACATACCTTTTGCCCTCTAATCAATTTCCTTCCTCTAGTCGCATGATTTCACTTGTGGTCCATGAACGTTTGTCGCATTTTGTCCAAAAACGGTGGAGATCTCATCAAAGTAGAGGATAAAAATCCAACATAGATTTCATCGCACAACAAATATCAACTAAGCTTTACATCAAATTTACCCCAAAAAACAAAGTTACTCAAGTTTATTCAGTAAATGAGTAAGGGAATAGAAGTCTTCCTTTTTCTCAAAACCGGAAAATTTTTATGTTGTATTTTGTTACGAAATTGTTCACTTGCTGTTTGTTTTTTAAGTAAAGAAAAGTCCCATTTGACGCAAAAGAGGCAAAGGTAATTTAGGGCTGTAGAAACAAAAGACAGGCAGAAGGAAAGAAAAGAAGTAGGACGTACCAGTGGCACCCACCACAACCACCCATCCCGGAGAGAGAGAGTCAAATTTTTTTCTTTTTTGTTTTTAAAGTAAGAGTTTTACAGCACTTGACTTGCAACACAATAAGGTCACATAAGTGCCGAAGATTAGAGGTGTTTCACGAGAGTAACAAAACATAAAAAAGAATGGGGAGAGATCAGGATGATAGATATTTGATAGGAAATAAGGAGCAAACCACACTAGAGCACCCGCCAACCACCCACCAAGAGTCTACTCTAACAGGGCATTCTGACTAAAGGTGAAGGTCAATCAGCCACTGGAGAAACGACAACAGCCAATTTTAACTCTTTATTTCCATGGGGGGCAGGGGGGGTGTTCACACTATGCTGGAGCCCCCTTTTGCTTTAAAACTCGAGAGTTACATAAACACCACTAAATTGGTCATAAAATAAAAAACAAATGAACTTATTTTGAAGGTTCATTCATCTAATGACAGAACTCGCGGTAAGAGAGAACTGTTTTTGTAACTGCTGAAAATTGATTCCTAAAATGTTGTCGTTGTTGTAAAGAAATGTGACGCTGACAGCGGATTGCCGGCAGTCACAGCAGTTAGGACTGTAAGCCACTGGGGCGGGGGGGGGGGGCGCGTGCCAGAGATAAAAATTTAAACGATGAAGCACAAAGCATTTCCTCACCCTTGGGATCTGGCTTCAAAGGGACACAGGGGAGATGTTTGTCCCATCTAGCAGACACGTTGTTCGAGGGTCCCTTCTCCAGACATTTCAGCCAGTCGGAAGCTCGGGAAAAACCGTCATCGCAGGTGTAGCTGCAGTTTTTGTAAGGCCGTCGAGAACAGGATTCCTCTAAAGTTCCATTGCCGATCTCCTCGGGGCAATCTGGAAATTTATTTCCATTTTCAAGTTATCAGCGATAGAAAAATAATGAAATTTTTTCTGTTCATAGCAGACCTCAAAATACAATATAATGCAAGTCGTTCCAAAGCCCACAAATGATGAGCCATTTTCGACACTGCGATAATTTCTAAAATAAACATCAACAAAAGCAACCCTCCACCAACTCCGTATGCCGAGCCCAAACTGGAGAAATTTTTTTTTTTAAATTTAAAAAAAGAAAGGAGGACTCCCTGCAAAAACATCTCTGGGGAAAAAAAAGAAAGTACAGGGAGAACAGCACCACATATATTGTTTAGTTTCAGTAAGGTTTTACTGCGCCCGCAACTGCATAAGGTCATATTATGAGCGCCAAGGGGTGGATGTCAACAGAGAAGTCCATACAGGGAATCAGGCTTACTCTGCTCACCTCTATAGCCTCAACAGCGCAAAGTCTGCTTCGACTATCAATATTCAAGGCACCCCGGACAGAGCAGTTCACAAGAGAGTGACAAACATGCAAAGGAAGTAGAGGAAAAAGGACGATAGTAAGAACGAGGAAAGAAAAAGCAGCAGTTCCCCCTATATTGTTCCGGCACAGTATGAGCATGACATTGATAAATCAGCCCACTTACAATTCTACTGTGCATAAGAACATATTAATATCTCCTCTTTGGGAATGGCCTAAACACAACCACACATGTTCCTTGTAGCTGTACTAGTTTTACACCCCCATTCACACAATTTAGCTCATTCAGGAGGCTTCCATCCTGCTTGTCAGGGCCAACCTCATCTCAGAAAGATACAACATTCCAACAGTAAGATGGACATGCTCCATAAAACTTCTCCCTACACAGGACTCAAACTTGCAACTCCTGTGTGCGATGGGCAAGTGCCTATCACCAACCCCTACACCACAGACTCTGATACACATTATCCTTTAATTTTGCCTGTGAAGTACTGTTGGACTGCTTGTCAGGGCCAACCTCATCTCAGAAAAATACAACATTCCAACAGTAAGATGGCGTCTGGGCCAAACCCGGTTGAGAAATTTTTGTCTGTTTTATAGTAGAGGGTTTTAAGGCGCTCGCAACTGCATATGGTCATATGAGCGCCAAGGGGTGGGTGTCAACAGAGAAGTCTTTACAGGGAATCAGACTTTTTCTTTACAGGGAATCAGACTTATTCTGTTCACCTCCCTAGCTTCAACAGCACAAGGTCTGCTTCGACTATCAAGGCACCCCGGAAATAGAAAGTCACAAGAGAGTGACAAACATACAAAAGAAGTAGAGGAAAATGACAATAGTAAGAATTAAGAAAGAAAAAGCAGCAATTCCCTGTTGTAGATCAGGCACAGTTATGAGCATGACATGAATCAGCCCATTTACAATTCTACTATGCTTGAACGAGAAATGTCCCCCCTTTGGGAATGGCCTAAAGACACTTCAGTCAGTGGCACTGGGGGGGGGGGGGTGTGTGTGTGAGAAAAATAAACAACATTCCAACAGTAAGATGGACGTGCTCCATAAAACTTCTCCCTACACAGGACTCAAACTTGCAACTCCTGTGTGCGACGAGCAAGTGCCTATCACTAACCCCTACACCACAGACTCTGATACACATTATCATTTGCCTGTGAAGTACTGTTGGACTTACTTCAAATGTACTGACAATCCTGGATGGTCAGCGACTGATTAGACAAAAAACCCAGTCAAAACCAACTGAAAGTAACCACACCACAGTGCAACTGGGAAAGGGGTGGGGTGGGGGGAAGGGAAGTTTTAAAAATCAAAAGTGAAGAAGTTATTCACTTTGACTTTACTTTCCTTTTCCGATCCAGCGGCCATTTGGGTTCTAGCCCTTCGGTCTGTCGATACAGCAAAGAATTGACAGGTTTTAATCAGCTGTGCTTTGTCGCTGTATAGAGTGTTTCCGATGTCTGAGGAGGCAGGAAGGTAGGTGCTACGCAGGTCACAAAGTGCTGGGCAGTTAAAGAGGTGGTGTGGTACTGTTTCATCCTGGCAGTCGCACAACGGGCAGTCGGGTGGGGTTTCCTTGCAGATCCTATTAAGGTAGGAATTTAGTGGTATGTGTTGTGTTCGCAGGCGAAATATCGTGACTTGTTCTCTTCTACTCAGGGAATTTATTGCATCTTCAGAGTTGGGGGCTGTCATGTGTGCAAATACAGTTCTTCCAGTTTTGCCCATTGCCTATCCATTCAGCCACTGTTCCCTGGTGTTGCATTTGATGATGTTCTTGGCTGTCTGTTGTGATACTGGGTTGTGTGGTTGTGTTTGTGATGCTCCCTTTTTGGCAAGGGCGTCTGCTCTGGCGTTTCCTGGGATGTTGCTGTGGCCAGGTATCCACTGTAGTGTCAGGTCGACGGCTTAGGTCTGTATGAACGTATTGATTGTTTGAGCCACGGATAGGCAGGCTGGGCTTTCGAAATTCATGTTTTCCAAAGCTTGGAGTACTGTCACTTTGACTTTTAAAAGTTCTTTTTTTTTGGTGTGAATTAGGTCAAGGATTTGACAGAAGGAAGAAAACGTAAAAGACACCCAATTTTATTGGAATTAGTTGGCAACAAGTCAGTCCCCCTCTAAGGGAGAAAAATAGATGTTCCCACTTGGACATCTACGTCCAGGTGTACATGTGTAATGTTTTCTTTTTTGTACCATCCCTCCCTTCCTTCCTTTCTTTACTTTGACGTCTAAACCTAGTACCTCACCTTTGAAACAATCTTTTTGAGTCTTGAAAGGCATTCAAATCAAGCTACAACAAAATAAAACAAAAATCTGTTCATGCCCCCCCCCCCCTCAACACAGACATGCGCGAAAAAAAACATGCCTACAGTTTTGCCAAGTTTTCCGAACCCCAGTTACAGATACCCATTGTTACAACATCAGATCACAAACCAGAGGACAAAATTACATCAAATGGGAGACTGGGTTTGATGCAGTGTCTGCTATGTCTTCTCAATTCCCAATTGCCGAATCTAGGTCAGCCCCGGGAAATTCAGGACAGTAGGCAAGAAGTCTGCGTCTATGGCATGGGAAAGAAACTTACACAAGTTAAAGCCACCAGAGCCATGCTTGAGGAAAGGACGCAACACCGTCCCGTCAGCCTGGTGATACTCCTTCCCTTTGTTTCTGTCGAAACACGCGGGTTCATATGTTCCATCTCTGTCAGAAAAAAAAGAGGATAAACTGAAAAGAATTGAGACGCTGATTTTCACATCTCAACCTTCTGAGCAATTAGTACCAGCAATGCATCACTGGCACATTTCGCGCGGGCAACAATTATCCGCAACACCTGTTCACCGGTGTGAGAAAAGAGTTCTGATTGTTCAGGCAGAAAAAGGCATTAATTTTCTACCAATTAAAACTTTAGTTTCTGTCCAAATGCTTTTAAGCAATACCAACAAGTCTGTTTCACACACGTTTTGATCACATTCTGTGCTCATTTACTGAGTTTTTTTCACAATGAAATGCTCTCTCTTACTGAGCCCGAAAGTTCCAGGAGGCCAGGATTTGAGTAAAATTAGGATCAGAAGCTCGGAGCTGAAACATTTACAGGATGAAACATTCATTAAGGGCGCAATCAATCAAACAAATTCCCCAGAGGCAAACTCTTGAACTAGTAAACAGAATAAAATGGATTCTTGATTCAGGTAGACATCGACAAGGTGCCGAAATTATTTGTCATCAAACAAACACAAACATATTCTAAATCCTTTAGCTTTAGTAAGAGTTTTACGGCACTTGCAACACAATAAGGTCATATAAGTGCCGAAGATTAGAAGTGTTACAAGAGAGTAACAAACAAACAAAAAAAGAAGGAGGAGAGATCAGGACGATAGATGTCGGTGGGAAAGAAGGAGCAAACCACACCAGAGCACCCACCAACTACCCACATTTTAAATCCTTGTCATTCTTCAAAAGCAGTGCACCTCAAGTCATTTTTACACAATGAAACAGATGTCAAAGAAAGTCTTTATTTAACAACTTGTCCTATAATAGACACGTGTAAGTAAGACAAGATGAGGAGTGGAGGTGATGTGTAACAAGATAAAATAAGATTATCTTTATTGTCCAAACACTGGCACATTGGTTTGGTGTTCCACCACACATGCACAAACACACATACGCGCACACACTACACACACGCATACACACGCATACACACACACACACTACACACACAAACCAAGCTTATACAGAGATGTACATACAAATAATTATTGGACGGACATACCAAATAATGTTATTTTCGAACACCTGACAATAACCATGAAAAAAGTTACTTACGTTGCTTGTATTTGGTCCAATGTTCCGAACTCGCAGTACAAGTCCTCATTCCTTTCTTCATGCTGACCATAAAAGCTGAAGATAAAGAATTTATTACATGAGTTGTGGTGTAAGATTATGATTCATCCTACGAGTGAAATTGCAGAGTTGTAATCGCGAGTCTCAACGAGTGAATACAACTGGCAATTTCACAAGTAGGATAAATCATGGTCTAACACCACAACGAGTGTCATACATTTTTTTTATACCATACTGATATCAGCTGGTGAAATACATCTGTACCAACAAAGTTCAAATGACCAGTCAATAGGACAAGAGGATCCATTCTAGAGTCCCACATGAAAACAACATTTTCAAGCCCGTCGAAGTCAGATTGAAAATTGGGAAAAATCTGGATTGTTTTTCTTCACTTTTAGCGACACTAATTTACAACTTGTGCTATGCGTATGTCTCCCTCCGCGAAACAAACCCCAAACAAAACAATCATAACGTAAATATAAGCAAAGTAATCAGAAAACGCACGATTCAAAAGTTGAAAGAAACTGCATTAATATGGCATGTTGCTGTTAGAATAGAGATGACTTTGATTTTGATTTTAAACTTCGTAACCAAAACAAACCGAAGGTAAGGAGTTATTCTCTAGATCTAGATCAAGATCTAGAAATCTAGATCTAGTCTAGATATATTAAATCTAGCACATTGCATCATATTGGTCAAAGACAAAGATGAAAAGTCGTCAAGTTATTTGGAAACTGATGTCCTGATTCCATGTAGTCAGGTATCTAGTTTTTGTCTATCCATTTCCGATATTCTTGATTTCTTGGGGGGGGAAGAATATCAGAATAAGAAGAGAAGTAACTTTTATTATTTCCAAAAAAGTAATTATCCAAGAGTGTTCTACTCGTTATATTGTTTAATATCATATTTATCAATTGCATTATAATGTTTTAAAGTTTAATCTTCTCTGTGATTTTTATAGTTGATTATTTAGTATTAGTGACATAGAATAAATGTAAACGAAAATTTGAAACGCAATGCAAGTGACCTAAACAGTGCGTTTTTTATTGTTTGATAAAGTGACTACCAAATTTCAAAACATTGTAACTCTTTAATGATCATTTAATTTATTCAAGCTGATATAGGCCTCAGTGGTGCTATTATTTATTTAGAAGTCATGTTGCAGATCTATCATTTTGATAATTAATATTTATTTAGATCTAGATCTAGTGTCCACTGTCCACCCATTGTGTTTATCTGGTGTGCTACTACAAAACAATCTCTGGACGGTAGAGTCCAGGTGTGCGAGTCCAGAAATTAAGACTCGAGTCCGGACTGGAGTATCTGCTCTGGACTCGAGTAATTACTCAAGTAATAGTATCCCGAAAGGGAATTTTAGTGGGTTACGAAAAAAAGTTTTGTTGAATATTGGAGAGAAAATACAGCGCCTTCTTAGGAGGGCGCTTGAGTAGAAGGCTTCTACGGCAATTCTAGACATCTGCATGCTGTTTATACCGCATCTTATTTTATTTTATCTTAAGAAGTGGCTATTCTCACCGCGGGTGAAAATAAAAGTACGATCGACCTCTCACCCCGGGTGAGGCTTGCCAGCATTGGGCCTCATTGGCTTTTCTTACCCAGTGTGAAATAAGACCGGTTTTTCCTCATTTCTGAATACTGTCTATCGGTGTGGATTATCAAATTGACGAACCCAAAGAAAAAAAAAAGATATTTTATAGCACAAAAGCAAACTAATCAGGCGGTCTACAAAGAAGATGCTACGGTCATTTCACTTTTCGAATCGAGACGAACTGCATTTCGTTTTGCCCGGAAGTTCTCGCTAGATCTAGGCTACTCTTCTCTCTCTCTCAATGCCCGCAGACAAAATTGCACGTTTTTAACAGAAGAGGACTGGAACGTTTGTTTACACCACAGAATTCAATAAAAAGTGTAGATCTAGAATTCTGTGGTTTACACTGGGTATCACGGTTAACTCACACAGGGTGAGAATAGCCAAAAGGCTCGCCCTCTCACCCCGTGTGAGAAGCCTACAACTGCGCTAGAATAGATGTGGCCTTTGTCTTATCTTGTCTTATTACTTATTTTTAAAGATAATTCTCTGTTGCAACTATAAGAATAAAATGTACACAGACTGTAAACCTCAGACAAGGCACTTCATAAAATATTTTTCCCCTTCAGTTTTTTAAAATTGCGTATTAGAATTTCTCTTTTAAAATTAACAGTTCTTAACTTTAAGAAAAAAACAACAAATTTCTCTCCTTTTCTTCTTTCTTTTTCTTCAGACTCGTGTCTATACTCGAGTAATTTTCTTGTGACTCGAGTCTGGACTCACCGCATGTATTACTCCAACACTAAAGTCTGGACTCGTTACTTGCACACCTCTACTGGACGGAAAAAGCAATTCCCAAACGTCAGTAGCGCTAGGTTGAAAGAGGGCAGTTTAGCTGCACCTGACAATTTGCATTATTATGATGACCCATTAGAACAAATGAATATTTTATTCGAGAAATGAACTGAATGTAACAGCACCATACTCTGGCGTAATTCCGGTTCATTATGGTGCCCATCATTTGACTCTATTTGAAACAAAATTAAGGGCAACGTAGTATAGTATAGAAGAACCATCACTGTTTGGTTCTTTTTGCTTGCTATTTGGTGGTAAAGAAGTGCAGCAACCTCAGCCCCACCCACCGCCACTGCTCATCTCTCTCTATAATATGTTGGGGGGGGGGTTTTGTCACACTTTAATTGATTGCCAAGTCAAACAAGTCCCCCTTCTCTCTTCACGATGACAGATTTGTCTTAGACAGATTTTGGGGGCTCTGGTGGATTAATAAAGAAAAACAAGGCTGTGCCGTACTGGCTGTGGTCTTGGACAGTGAAGTGAAAACAAAAGGGCGAAGTAAGTGTGAATTTAAGTGGAAGGTGGTTGTATTCTCAGTACAGGTGGTTGCCTTGGACAAGTTGTTGTCAGGGCAAATCTGACTATAATTCATTTCATGATGAGTGACTTTAAGGCAATTGTGATTCAAGAGGAGGACGGCAGAACGACTTTCATATATATGTGACCTTTGTCAAAAGGGAGGCTGACTGCTATTAGAGCATGGTCATTAACAATCAGTCTCTCAAAATGACATAATATTGCAAGACTTTTTCTATGCCACACCAGCCCTATTTCTAACTTGAAAGCACGCAGAGGCAGAGTAGAGATGACTCGGAAAGACTTCCGCAACGAGCTAACACCTACTGCCTTAACAAACACAATAAAGAAGAGACCTAACCATATAACCCTAATCCAAACACTAACCCTAACTCAATCCCAAACCCTTACCTCAACCCTAACCCTCTATTTTGTACCTCTGTCTATTTGATAGTGGTCGCTGGTTACTGAATTCATCCCGATGACTCACGACTTATATTGGATGGAGGTTTTGAGTAGAGTGGGACTATGACTAGGAAATTGGGGGGGGG